GAATGAGACACTTTCACCAAAAGTAGTTTCCAAAGGAAAACAGAAAAGGTCTATAAGGAAGGAACACAGAGTTCTTAGTTACATTTCCAGATGATGCATGTGTGAAGAGGAAAGGTGTATTGAAAGCGAAGGTTGATGTAGAGAATTACAGCAAAGGAAAGAAGCCATGTTTTCAGGTGGAAAAAAATGAATTTCTGTAGCGTAAAGGAAGGCAGGACAAGGTGAACTCTGCAAGGGACTGGAGTGTAGGACAATATATGAAGAAATAGGAAAAAAATTAAAATTTGAATAGAGGAATAGAGAGGAGGAGGAATTGGAATGGGATGTAAACTGTCAACTGAGCATGAAGAAAAAGAGAGATCTCAGAGGACCAAAGAAGGAAGTAGGAGCAAGAATGTGAAGAGATGTAAGGCTATAAACAATTCTTGAAACACGCTGCATGGCCAGGGGTGGTGCTTAGGATGGAGCTTGAGTGTAGATAAAAATGTAGTGACTTAGTGTACTTACTAAGATTTTTATTTATTTATTTATTTTGAGAAAATGAGAGGAGACAATCTTACTGAGGTAGCAATTCATTGGAACTGTTATGCAGTTTGGTAAGCAGTGAGAAAGAGCTTCAAATTCTCTATTTTCAATTTTTAGCAGTAAAATACTATAATAGAAAAGTAGAAAATACTCTAAGAACAATAATTTATATTTCCTTCATGCAACATGTGTGGTTTACCCTGGCAAGCTTCATGACTCTGTATCCTCAGAGAGGACAGACTGAGTGAATAGATTGCTGTAGTTGTAGAAGTGTCTGCCATCTAACTTTCGCTAACTTTTTTGCCCCGAAAGTACATTGTGTTAATACGATGACTTCTCTGTGAATCTCTAAACAAATCAGAGTACTGAGTATGTCTGTACTTGAAAAACTTTATAAAGGAGGGCATCTACCCGAGATAGTCATCATTAAAATACATGAGACTTTTTCTAAAAGCTGAATTAAAAATAAAAAAATAATCCATTTTGCACTGTAACGACTTCATTTTGAAGCAGCTATCTACACCATATTTGATAAACTTTAAATTTTGAAATCGAACACAATTTCACATATATTGGATTTGAAAATCCCAATTAAAAAGGATGCTGTTTATACAAGTTTCTCCTTGCAGGAAAGACAACATGAAATTTCCCTTCCCATAAAAAAAGATTTAAGTTAATAGATATAGTTTTTTGATATAGTTTCCTTCAATTTGGCTCCGCTTGGATCAACCTGATTCCAATATCAGGCAACAGTAAACATAACATTTTTCATCTCTTAGCATGCACATAGTGAGAAATCCCAATTATACTTTCATTTTTGCAGGAATTATTTCTGCCACAGCTCCTACTTTCTAACACGAAAGAGAAAAAATGTAAAATTGAGGATTCAAGGTGATAATGTAACTACAGTAAAACATGACTAAGGAGTTAGAGTTGCATGTATAAATAGCAGTGACAAAAATGCAGTCATAGTTAAGGAACTGGTTCCAGTGATTTACAGTCTTGAGAAAGAATTTGCATTAGTGTTGTTGATGTGCCTTTGTAACTATATTTCATGTTATATTTAAATGTACTACTCAAATTACATCTTGACTGGATTAACAGAGTATAATATATAATTGTACTTTAGGTACTCTAAGATGTGATTGAAAGATTCCACTGACATCACTATTCTCTGATTTTCAAATAGAGAAAACCACTAATAAGGGTATATAATTTTAAATAGAAGCTTTAGAAAACCAACCACCTGCACATGCTAAAGCCAGCATTATGTTTTCAAGTGAAGCAAATCATTTCAGTTATTTGTGCCAGAGATAGATTTACTTGTATCTGTGCATTTTCAGTAAAGCTGAACCAAGAGTCAGTAAACATTTGACCCGTTCTTTAACTCCCTGAGTCAGATTTTCATGGAACATTCAATTCCTACCACATAGAAAAAGTCTGAAACGATCGACTAGCTATGTACACAGGGTCCAGCATTCATTAAACATTTTTGTCTGTCATCAAGGATAAGTGTATTAATCCATCAGCTTGACTTACTTTTTGACCGGGGTGGACTGAACTATGACTGCCTTGGTACAGGAAGAAGAAAAAGATGAAGAACAGTACAGACATAGAACAAAACTAAAGCTATTCCATAGGTCAGGTCATCTACATACACAGATAGTCTGTACTGCATGTTTCTCATTCAATCAGCACCAGAACCACCACTTTCACCCTTCCACCGCTTGGATCCAAATTCTAACTAGTGTTTCTGCTGCAACAGAACAATGTTTCACATAGATAGCACATTGCAATGAATTTCACTTACTTGAAACATCCTAATTACCAAGTTTGTAATGGGTCCAGAAAAGCTTCTACAAGGCTTTCCCTCTTCTTAAAAGGTAATAATAACACCATCAGAATTTGCGTTCTATTCCAGAAATTCTCATTTTCTATGTTACAGTTTATAGCAGGAAAGAGACAGAAAAGAGCAAACACTTGGGGTAAAAAAGACCACAACGTCTGAAGTACAGTGAGAATTACCCCTAAAAATCAAAAGGAGAATAATGAACAAAAGTACAGTATCCAAAGGTTCCTGTCCTCATCCCTACCCGTGGCTCCTTCAGCCACTTATTCTTAGTAAATAGCAAACTAAATAAGTGAGATACTCTCTGTCCGGTAGCCAGAGTATGATGGAATTGTATGGTGATCATGTGTGTGATTATGCATCTCCTGCAGATGTAGAAGGCTAGTATAGTTTTTAGTGAATTTCAAAAATAATCAGAGGAAGAAGGAAGAATCGAGCCATAGGAGTGGTGTTAGCAGCATTTGTAATACATTTTGCCATGGAAACGACTGCAGTGTGGAATTCCAGTCTGCTGTGAGCACTGGTTGCTAAGGGCAGCGAGGCAGAAGCAGACAGCTGCTAGAGGGCTATCAGAGCAGTCCTTAGCAGCAGTGATAGCAGTCTGATTAGCTCCCACATCCTCTTTTCTCAGGATCATTAATTCGCAGTTTTCTGTTAACATGTTGTTCTTTCATTGTAAGTGATGACTGTAATTTTCTTATCTAAAATCTGGGATTAGTTTAAAACATGTAAAAAAAAGATCACCAATACTGTACTCGCTCCTTTTAAATAACATCCCTCACTTCAGTGGCTTATGTCACTTTGTTTACCTACTGAAATATATCCTGGAAAATTATGTATATATATTTATCATGTTGCAGCTGCCAAAATGCAAGAAATGTTTCCCTCTAAAACTGTCACTAATGCAATGACAGTAAATACCTTGGGAAATGTTCCATACAAACACAAGGAACAACTTCTTTACTGTTGGAGTGACAAAGCACTGGAATAGGCTGCACAGAGAGGCTGTAGGAGTTTCCTTCTCCAGAGATATTTAAGATCCATCTGGACGCCTTCCTGGGCAACTTACTACAGGGAACCTGCTTTATCAGGAGGATAGGACTCTATAGCCCTAATAGTTCCCTTCCAATGCCTACAATTCTGTGATTCTGTGAAAAGAACTGAAGCAAAACTCAGGCCCTCACAAACCTTCTCACCTTGTAATTAACCACTGGACGTGTTTCCTTAACTTTCTTTAATGTTACCAATAATTTAAGCTGTACTTCTGCTAATGCCAATAACTCCAGTTGTCTTGAACAACATAACACTCACTCTGTTTTTAACCTCAATCAAAGCTCAAAATTAGGCTGTTAATTGATGAGCTTTTCTTTTAGGTTGGTGGCTATTTCTAGGGCATTCCTATGAGCCCAAGCTCTACCAAATATGCACTTGTGATTTCTTTTAATTTAAAAAGAGGAAGACAGATGCATTCCTTCCCTTTATTACAAAACATTTAAAGATCTTATCTCAAAAGAAGTAGAGACAAGTAGGGCAGGAAAGCTAGTATATGATAGGATTTACTCTTAACTTCATCAACCATTTCATTGCACAGAATTTTAAAATCCGCTAAGCTACAGAATACTTATCTTCTACCACTCTTTGAACAGGTAGCAGTTTAATTCCCTATTCATTTTCATGCTGTCTCTTTAGAAGTAGTATGGTGGTTCCCAAACCAAGTACTGTCTTCTCAAAAGGAAACAGAAATTGTGCTGGGGTAAAGTGAATGTGGATTAATTATTGGATAAATAAGATCGGTGAGAGAAGTTCAATTAGTTGAATGTAGCAAGGTCTTCTGTGAAAGTGGAGCTAAAGCTGCATTTATGTTAGGGTAGGCAGTGCAGCTTTGGAATTGCTTAAATTTTTCTGTATGATTAGTGTACTCCACAATGCTGTTCTTTTCCCTTGTAGTTTGACCATTGTTGCAAGAGTGGTGCTCAGAATGAACTGAGGGACAGAGACATGAAAGAGGTCTGGGCAAATTGTGAGGAAGAGAGGAAAAGCCACTGTTGTTTTAGTGGCATAAATAGGAAGGGGAGCTGTTTTCAGTACAACATTGGATGATGGCAATATAATTTTTCTCTTAGGTCTCAGTATTTTACTGTGACAAAAAATGGAGTTCAGAGAATGGTTTGTTTAGGGTGGGAGTATTTGATTAAAGGTGAACACTCAGGCATGAGTGCTTAACAAATACACGAGTAAGATAGGAAAAAAATCATTACAATGCCAAGTTTATAGAGTTAAGTGGAGATGGAAGATTTGACCTGAAAATCAATAAAATCTTCCTTACAAATATGCAGATATGAAAGTAATGTTGTAGTGAAAATTTAAAAACATAGAGGCTTCCAATTTTTCCAGTGCAGAGTGTTCAAGTATTATGAAAATGATCTGGATGTAAAGGAGATAAATTATATATGTATCTAACTCCAGTTTCTTTAATGTTAAGTCATTCAAATCTGAGTGAGCCTTTGACTGAACAGTAAATGTTCCACTGGTCACATAGAAAGAACAGATTAGGGAAAGTTATTTTGAAAAAATGATAATTTATTGTCTTCCTTATTCAATTCTAATCCTTCTTTTTATATTTCAGGGTGCAAGTTGAATTCTATATGAATGAAAACACATTTAAAGAGAGACTAAAACTCTTCTTCATCAAAAACCAAAGATCAAGTAAGCAGTTGGGTTAATTTCTATTAAGCAATATAGTAATACTTTGTTTATAATCTAATTCCATTGATGGCAACAGCAAAGTTATTAACTTTCTTCTCAGCAGTTTCTTTTTTTGCCCCACAGGAGTCAGTTTTACATTATTTCTATAGCACTCAAAAAGTATTTAAAATTAAAAAAGATTTTCTTGTTTTATGGTAATGAGCATGATCATCATGGTAATGTCAGCTTTATCAAAGATTGTTGCTTGACCTCACTTCTAAGAAAGCAAAACACCTCAAAGATGTTTGAGTATAAAAACAAAAAACCAGGTGCTTTTGCAGTACTGTTTAATTTTACTGAATACTTCTAGCTAAGCATCAAACTTTGTACAAAAACTAAAAAAGAGTAATTTGGTAAGGAAACTGGTAGAGAATTTAACAAATTCTCAGTCTTCATGAATATAGTAACTTTATATTCCAATTTAGCAGTGTATTTTCATTTCATTTAGCAGTGTAAATTCATAAGCCATCACAGAAGACAATTATGTGGAGAAACTAAGACATTTGTGTTTACATACATCCAGGATCCAAGAGGGTTCATATAGTGTATAGTGGAGTAAGAGACAAGACAGAAAAGCATACTGAACTAGAAAAGAGTATTACCCCTGGCTAGAAAAACAATCTGGGAAGCTGTAAGCAGTAAATAGCTTTTTTTAATTCCCTGAACTAGTTCACAAAACAGATTTTTATGAGACCAAACTCGTTATAAAATTCTTCTCACAGATATGATAGGAATGTTATGGATACATACTTGCTTGAGATAAAGGTAGGAATTTTTTTTTCCCTACCTAGATCTTAACAAAAAATGTGAAGAACAAAAACCTTTTTACAAATACATATTTTGATGGAAGAACTGAAGACATACATTTAAAAACAGATATATTTATCATAAGCAGCACAAAAATAAAACCTGAAGATATGAATTCATGGCCATTACTTTGCCAAACACTTATCTTCTGGCTAACTGTATTAAGAGAATTGTCCTAAGTTACTATACTAGGACATCTCTGCTCCATTAGGAAAATGAGGCTAAGGAAAAGGAATGTTATAGAATTTTATTTGAAATAAGGAGTGAGAAGCAACTGTCGACTGATCCTACTGGGGATTATGTTAGGTATCAGGGAACTGATGAAAAAAAATTTGGCCCTTTAGATCTTAGGTTTCACTGAGAACACTGAAAACCTTCCTTCACATATGGTGTATCTATTTCCTGTCATTACTGATTCTACTGTATTATTTTCTCAAGTTTTCAGACAGTATTATATCAAATTACAGATGTTCTGCAAAGTTTTCATGACTCCAAGACTTCACAAGTAGGTTTAGAACATCAGAGAGTGAGAAGTAATATCCCATGCTCCAGTGCTATTAGTCCAGAATTTATATGATTTTTTTTTTTTATAGAATACCAATCTAATTAGACCAGAAACAGGCATGAAATATCAACTGCCTCATTCATTATTCCAGTTCCGAACACATTTTTATGAACTAGTAAAAAAAGGCCATCCACTTCTGATTTCAGCTTAGCTACCACTCAACCTTCTGTAAACAAGTTTATAATAAAATTAAAATGGTACACAAAAGACATTTTAAAAAGGTGTCAGCCAGCTACAAATAAATAAGTAAAATACATTTTTATGACTCGCTTGTACTTGCCAAGATCACACACAGCTTAAAATAAGTCTCAAAGGAAAAAATAAGTGAATTTTCAATTCAATGGAGACAGTATAAAACAGATAACTGTCATCAGGATATGAATTATTAACAGCATATTTTGATTTAACTCCTAAAGCCAATTGCTACTGAGATGACTTTGCTAAAAGCCAGCAGTGTTGGAGATTTATTAGGAAATAAAAATGGAAGGCGATAGTAAAATCGTCAGCTGTTGTGCCTATAACCCCTGCTTTAATGTAGATCAGATTTCCAGATTGGAGAATTATCTCTGAAAATGCTTGTAGTATCAAGAAGTTATAAGAAAAAGTAATAATAAAAAAAGAATTTCATTATACCTGATCAGGTATTCTATTACTTTATACTTAAAACTGCTGACAAAAAAGATAGAAGAAGCCTGTTCAAATGTTAATGTTTCCTTCTCATTTTATATAGTTACGTTTACTTCAGAAAACAGATTTGGAACTGTTATTGCCAATTTCTTCTTTTGAAGAAGACAACACATGTAACATCACGCTTACAGGGACAAGGTAGAATTATAATCTCATTAAACTATTCATAACAGTGTATGATTGATATAGCTGAATACGAGTTTCAGGCATCAATATCAAAGCTGAGATATTTTGTATAAATGACTCTGCTACTTGAACAATCTGTGAATGGAAAAAAGGAAAAAGAAATTAAATTTCAGTTTATGTAAAGTATAGGACCAAAATAGTCAACCAGCAAACAGAAGTATGAAATACTTTCTTTGTAAGAAAGTAATAAATGAAAAACTATTTTAAATTCCAGCCTTCTGGTGACTGCCTCCTCCTTCTCTGATGTGAAATCTTAGATCTCCATAGCAGTGGAACAAATGTGTTTCTTCCAGCTCATAGATGACATCCCTAACTATGAGGCTACAGAATATTTTGACCAGCAAATATTTACTTACATGAATTATTACAGCTCTAGCAGGAGTGACCAAATGCACTCCCTCTGTCAGGGCATATCCAGAAGCTGAAGCAGAAGATACACCTGAAATCTGTTCTACATTACTTTTGTAATGCCTGAACCACCCTCATATGATAGACATATCCTACTGTCTGCCCTGTCTATGTAATCTAGACAACCATATATGCTCTATGTCATGCCTAGAGGCCTTCCACAAATGCATATAAGGAGTGAAAACCCTTCCTCATTCTATGGGAAACAGCTCAGTTGAGATATCCAGAACCTGAAGCACTTTCACGTATAGTATGGAAGAGTTCTGGAAGCATTTTAATACTGAATATGTAAGCAGTTTTCAATCTTTCAAGACCAAGACTCGAGAGTTAGGATTTAAGGCAGCAGCCAGAAGCATGAGTGCCATGTTTTTGAAACCATAAAAGCACTGTTTTCTTTTGGAATTTAGGACAACAATAAATTCAAATGATTATTAGAAGCTGGCCTATTATCAATACAAAAAAGAAGCATTTAACATCAAGATGAACATTTACTGAGTTAAGGAACAGAAAACAAGTGATGAACTTTTGATAACACAAAATACATAGATTTTTTTTTTTGTTGTTGTCTTCTTTTGTTTTCAGGTTATCTGCTCTTTTTTTAATGGCTTGATTGTTACAGCAACCATTCAGAAGTCTTCCATAAAATCATTAGCTTAGACAAAAAATTTGTATCTTCTTCATCAGCAGTTCAAAAATGTACAAGATTATAGCATAGTTGGAAAAAAAACCACTTTTTGGTCAAATAATACCATAGCAACACACAGTAACAGCTGTGGGACTTCTCATGGCCAAGGCCTAAGCACAGGATTTTAACCCTTAGCTTCCAGACGATGAAATCCTGTAGAAGTTCACCCAGTTCTTGTGTGATAACTGCAGCTTCACAGGACATGTTTGCACACAAATTTGAGTATGCCTGATGAGACTGTCATTCCCAAATCATAGAAATAGTTATATTAAGTTTAGCAGGTTTGATACCACATTTGCAATTCAGTGCAAAGGAAATCAGATCTATGTGAGACCCAGTCAGTAATGTTCTGCTTTGGACAGAAGGCCTCTCAGCTCTACAGAATTGGACTCCTGGTTCACATGACTGAAAAAAAAATAGTGTGTAAGGTTGCCTTCCCTCATTAATTTTAAGACTAATTACAAGACTGAGGATTGAAACGCTAATCCTCCAATGACTCCAAAACTTCATTAAAATACAATTAAGTTTTGTTGTAGTATTCAATGGCTCCTATTAGCACCGAATTAAAATTCCTGTGTGATAGAACCAACTGTCCACCTGTGTTCCTTTGGAGGAATCCTGTCCCTGTGCAGTAAACCGATGGTTTGCAAGACATATTGTAATATTCTGTGATAGTATTAAGTATTTGAGATCTATTATATAGAACATTTTGGTATTTGTATGGTCCACAGAAGAAGCTGTTGAATCAGTTAAAGTTGTGCGCAATTCAGCATGACTTTCATATATCCTGATTCTTGGATTCCTAATTATGCAACTTCAGCATTAAATATCTACTGTTTAATATTTTATGTTAGGATGGTATTAATGTATTCTGTGTGAGAAACTACCACATGAAGACTGTCAGATATTAATATTTAAATAATTACCATTGGATATCCTCTGCCTGTGGTTGAAAGTATGTCTTCCTCATGCTATTGTATCTTGCATCTCAAATACTGCATGTCATTCTGGTTCCTCTTTTGAGAAGAAATTTGTAAAACTACAAAAGATCCAAGCCTCAGGAACAACAGATGGTATACAATAGCTTTCAAGCAAAACAACTGTCTAGATTTCCTCTTTAAAAGGGATCAAATCTTAACCCAGAGATTTTTGGAAGTTGGAAAAGTATATTTTCTGCGCATCTGACAGGCATATTCATATATTCTTCTGCCAAAGGGCAATGTCAGGTACAAGCTGGATAGACCTTTGCTCCGTTGTATCATGGCTATTTTAGTTCCTTTTAGTTTTACCTTAAAAGTGAATTAAACTATAAACAGTCTAAATTTCTTTCTGTTCCTTTTAAAATAGGTCTGAGAATACGGTTATTCAATTTTTCACTTAAGCTATTAAGCTGTTTCTTATACATAATTCGTGTGCTTCTGGATGACCCTACACAAGGACATGGATGGTAATATTTGTTTTGTTACTTGTTCTCTCAAAGCATTGTTAAAGATATATCAAATAAATTAATTTTATGAAGAAACGAATAAGGAACAACATTTTGGTGGGAACTATTCCCAGAGAATAAATCTACCACACAAGGATTCTATATTTTGTCGTTATAAAATGTAGGACAGGAGCTATGCAGAATTAGCTTCCGCATCAGCTGGGATGGTTCAGAGCTGTTAAGGATCACTCTTCCTCCTCTTGTACTCTTATAAATGAAATAGCTCTAGATAGCAGCTTTATTTTTTTTCTTTTTTCTTTCTTTTTTGTTGCCTCAGCTGACAGAACAGCTACTGATCAGTATTAATTTATTAGAAGTTTAACTCTCCTGCCAGAGAAAATTTATGTTGCTATGCAGTAGTTCTGCTATGCAGTAGACTCCTAAATGCATGGTCCTTTCAATATAATTTGGAAATAAGAGTATTGTATATAGTTCTGACTTAACCATGCCACAGATATCGCAATATTAGCTGTCTTAAGATTCTAGATCCTGGACACCCTCAGACAAATACGTGAAACTGAGCTTTCACATAGATGATGCTGATGGTATCTTACTAGCCCTCTGAACACTTAAAAGAGGAGGAGACCAAAAGTACATTATGTACTCATGATGCTCCATCATTCCAATTCACAATTTTTTGAATACCCACAGCTGGCAGTAGATTCCAAATAGGCCACTGGATACTCAGCTTTTTTCGATGTGTTGTACAATCAACCACCAATTTTTGAAAAAAATATTTACAATTTATGCAATCTTTTGCTCCAATTGCATTTATATCTTGGAAATACTGAATATTATCAATTCTGAGTGATAATGAACACCATTTTCAATTAACTTACTTGCTTTCACTTGATTTGCTTCTGTCAGCCTTAAATACCGAATGAAACAAAGCATGGCTACAAATACTCAAAAGCTCAAGGTGTCAGAGCTAGCACTCTTCACACAATGTTAGGCAAAAGACTAAGTATGAATTCTAATTTGCACATTTGAAGATTGATTGAAATTGATTAAAACTATGTAGGATAATGCTCTAGAAAAACTAATGCATAGGATTTCAAGAATCAACTCCAAGGAGAAGTGAGTTAAAGAAAATAGACTTTCCTCAACAGTACATGAGAGTGGGATGTGTGAATAGGAAGTACAGAAAATTCATTTGAGAATCTTTTGTCAAAACTTTTTGTAAGAAATCAGAACATCTGAAAAAAGAACAGAAAAAAAATTCCCTTGAAAAGCAAGAACTGCAAAAAACGTTATTTTTTCACTCCGCATGCATCTCTAAATGTCTCTTCAAGGAGAGGGAGTGTGTAGAGTGGAAATAAGTAGCAGTCTTCAAAACCAGAGCACTGATAAAAAAAAAAATTATCACTGAAATTTAGACACAGCACCACAGCAAGTCAGGAACTTGAAATTTTCTTAACGCACAGCCTTTTTCAGCTTTCCAGACAACCTTGTTCTTTTCTCTTGCTTGAGGTTAGATTCTTCTCAAATTAGCCTTTATATTGCAAAGCTCAAGCCCTTAAAATATGTGTCCTTTTACTTCTCTTATTATATTAAGAAGACCTACCACGATACATGTTAATTCTGCTGAAACTCAATGTTCCATCCAAAAAATATCAGTACTTTTGCATCAACTTTTTACAAGCATTTTATAGTGAGTTAGGATAAAGAAAGAAGTATTTAAAACTAATTATTGTTTCCTCTGTGAATCTGAAAAGCAGAAAACACTAATGCTCCCTAATAATAGTTATATTCTGTATACCCTGAAATATATCTTAATTCAGTTCTGGCCATCTTTTCAATCACAAAACAAATGCTAAGCTGCTGATGTGGATGGCATCTTCCTATCATTAACAGTAAAGTGCCTTTAAATGACTTAATGATAGTGTGACAGGACCCTACTGTATAAAGAGTATGAATTTTACATGAAGAATGCTGTCTTTATATGAAAAAAAAGAGAAGTACAGGACATCTGAGTAGTTCAATGAGAAAAACTGCTGCTTATCTGTAACCGGTGGGCACAGCTGCCTGTCACATACGTATGCATATATGTACACCCCCTAAGTTGTTTCACTGAAAATGAGTTTGCCAAAACTGAGTTTTAATGTTTTCAATAGGTCACAGAAATCAAATAGGAACCATGCTGATGAAAAATTGCAAAGATTGCAGTGGCTTCCTGTGACACTAAGCCTTAACAGCCAATGTGTAATCTGGATAAGGTTCTGCTGATTTTTCTTGTGACTAACTGAACAATGAAGTCAATTGTCCTCTCCCAATATGTTATTTCAGAATGTGTTATCAATGTGATATTGTAAGATGTAGCAACTGATAAAAATTGATCTGATTTTTAGAGAGAAATCTCACAGTATTATTCAAGTTGCTGTTTTTAACAGTTTGACTAGGAAAAAAACATAGAACTTTCATAAAATCACTATGCGGGATTCTAAAGCTGATGTTATTTGCCACTCCACAGTGAGTAGCAGTAACATTTCAGGATTTGAAAAGACATGTAATATGAAATGAAGGAGATGTTTGAACATTAAGGCATTGAGAAGGGAATAGTAGTTTATAATACCCTGTATACCCTTATAATACCCCTGCAGCAGTACAGAACAGCTGTATTAATTTGCATACAGTATTCCACAAATACAACTTAAAAAAATAAATCTCAAATCCAAGCACTGAAAGAGATGTACAGTTTGATAAAAAGTTGTAGCTAGAGAAGGGATATTGCAAAAATTGAAACAATGATATTCTTTCTGGTTTTGAATAAATAATGCACTTGGTATTGAAGTTTGAAGCACGATTGCATAACAAAGTATAATTGGACTTCATGAATCCAATTTAAAGTAATACAATTTTCTTGTGGAAAAGAAACCCATAGTTCAGATGTTTTTTGTGGCTAATGAGTTTCGGACATGAAGAAACTGTTTATATCATCTTCTTCTAAGAGCTTCTAAGAACTTTGGGAGCTCCAGTGAGTGTATTTGACAGAATGGTATAACTGAGTATGTGGAATGGATTAGAACAGCAGTGCTTCTGCTACTGGCAAGAGTATTTCAATAGTTTTGTATTCATATGCAGAGATCTTTTTGTATTTTGCAGACTGCTTAATTCTGCAGTCCTTTCCTGATATGTTTGTTCCTTGTTCCTTCTAAGCATTTAATAATTCACTGGATAGAGTTTGTTTTTTCTGTATAGCACTCCATTGTATTGAGCTGTGGGACATTAATAGACTAGACAGTTCTGTTACTGTATAAAGTTTGTCTGGCTGAGAAGTTTCATATAATTGTTTTCTATGTGGTCATGAAGAACCAGAGTTTAAAGTCTGTTTGTCTTCCCAAACAAACGAGCCCTGTACCCAAATGGTACCTCATTTTGTCAATAGTTTTGCACATACACATCTCGAGGGCTTTATACCAAACCACTGCCATAAAGCAATTTTACAAGTGCTGCATTGTGAAAAAAATACTGTGAAAAAAATGCCACAGCCTAATGAGAGAAACTATTCCATGCACTTTCATAGTGGCTGTATAAAGCACTATCATGTGGCTGATCTTAAAATGACAGTTCGGAGAGGAATGCTTTTCACCATAGATTTCCACTACAGACTTATTTCCTGTCTTTTAGCACAAGTTAGTACCTTTCTTTTATTCCTTTAGGCAAACCAGATGTACCCAGCAAAGGTTAAGATGTAAAATGTCCTTATTAATGCATACCATTTAGCATTTGTCTTATTCATAGCCCGTAAGAATGCAGCTATTAGATCCCTTTCTTTTTTGGCTGACCTTGTTTGCCAGTTTGCCTACTGCTGTGTTGTACAGATGTCCTCACGTGAATCTCCTGGATCTCAGTATCAGAAGCAAGTATTCTTTGAAGTCCAAGTTAATTAACAGAGGACCAAAATCGTTTCTGGGAAGAACTGTGGGCACAGAATTGTGTAGGAAGTCCCACTTCACTCATAGAAAAGGCGCCAGGGACAAAGAAGGAAATTTACGCAAAAATTTCCACATCTTTACATGACTATTTGAAGGGAGGATTTGTACCAGTAATTCAAAGCAAAGTAACACCACATGCACAGAACAGCTCTATTTTTTTTTACATCAAGGTCACTAGTTTCTTACACTAATTACTTTTACATGGAACCCCAACCCAGCTTACATCCTCACAAGAGAAGACAAAGTGTAGCTTGATGCAGTGTTTGCTGTTGAGAGTATGACAAGCATTTGCAGTCTTTCTATCCCAAGTTATCTTTGTGATATAGCTTCTAGTATCTCTAGCTCTTTAATATATACTTATTTATATAAGTATATATAAGTTATTGGTTCAGCTTTTGAAATTATACTTTGAGTTATTTTTTTTTTTCAAATCAGACCATGTTTGAAAATAAATCTTAAGAAATGTAACCTGAAGTGCTTTACAGTCTTTTTCTATGGATACAGAACACATCCAGAACTACATTCAAAAAACTATTTTACTTTTAAAAATGTTTATATTCATCATCTAGTGTTTCAAAGTATTGCATGAATTTTATAACATTTTATAGTTAATAGTGTAACTAATATCCTTTTCCCCTGTATGTTTTTACGGTTGTGTTCCCATGTGCATTTGCTAATGAAAATGGACTTTGCACTGATGTGATGACAACTACCAGTAAGGAATTAAACCGGGATTGTTACAATCAAAATTACACACCTGGAACAATTGATTGGTGAGTTCCTCATTTAAAAAAGCAAACAAAAAATCCACATAATTTTGTGAGGGAGGCTGGGACAGGAAGACAAATCAACTTTGTCTGGAATGGTGATATTTTAATATATCATGGTGACACTTCTATAACTCCCCATCAGTTACTTTCAACTTGATTAATATTCAAAACCGCCTTTAAAATTCTAATTATTCCTCTTGATTATGTAACAGACTTGCTGGATTGCATGCTGTTGTAAGCTCTGAATTCCCATAATGTCTATATATCTTGCTGAAAACAAAAAAATAGACACCCTTATTATTTAGAAAAAAATTATGACTAGCAGTAAATAATGGCAATTTACTGTGCCACTGAGAGTACCAGATTCTAGTAGCACTCTGTCAAGTATCACTGGGTTTAGTAAATATTAAAACAACATGGTATTTTTCCAAGATATGTTGTTCTTATTATGTAGATGCCATTTATATCATTATACAGGAAAAAAAAAAAAAAAAAATCAAACAAAAGAACTGTCAAGTTTCTCTTTCCTCCTACAAATAATGGTTCCTCTGCATCTCTAGAATCAAAATCTCAAACTGCTTTAGTCTTCCATGAGGGATGACCTAGCAGCCACTGAAGCCAATAAAACATTTTGGTGTCACCAGGTATTGGATTACTCCCACGTGAATTTAGTGATTGACTATAGTAAAAATTGCTAATACTCAGTAGATAGCTACTGATTTTAAATCTTTACTACTTATTTTTTTAAATATAAGACTGCTGTAATTTCCACTGATATGTACAATTTTTTTTTTTTATTTTTTTTTCTTTTGATTTCTTTAAATTCCATATTTGTTCTTGTGTTGCAATGAACAGGTCTCCTATTATTTGGGTGAATCGAAGTTTGCCTTTATGGGGATTACAGGTAATAAGTAAATGGCCAATTTAACTACCTGCAATATTGATTTATAGCATTTTGGTGATGTTAAATGATATATGGAAAAATTAAAGAAATCTACTTGATTAACAAACACAACAAAACCATAAAGGAAAGATAAGCTGATCTCAGCTACCTAGTTTAAATTGTACGCCTTTATCATATATTTATACAGTATGAAAATTTGTAGCAAAATATTGTAGAATTTGGACAATCTTTTCTTGTAGAAATATCAAGCTCTGTTGAGTAGTCTAGTAAATATTTTCAATAGCAAAGAGTTTAACTTTCATAATTTCTTATGACTAGTATTTTTTTTTTAACATGTACTTTCTGGGCTTTCATGTAAAATCCGTTAAAAAGCTAAGGTTACTTCATAGTACAGAAGGCCGGATGTTTAGAAGTGTGTATTATAAAAAATGCATTCCATTAGCCCTTAGAAATGCTCACCTTAGTGTGGGCATTTTTTTCATGGACAGCACTACAGTCGAGTGATATTAAAACCTAATGCAGAAACTCAGGTGCAATTGGCCTTTCTTTGTAAGGAATGCAGAGTGCTCATAGGATTACTGCATTGGTAACTGAGGAAGGGGAAGAAAGATTCCAGCGTTGCTCCACATCTTTATCCATATTAAGTTATGATCAGAGACTCATTCTAATATTTGGATTTAATAAACATAGGAATTTATACATGTGGCTGTGTGTAAATATATATAAATGCGTTCGCAGTAGGATATATACGATACTTGAAAAAAATATTTCTTTTTATTCGAGGTACAATGAAATTTTATATAAAGCTTTGCTACTCATTTGGAAAACTGGCATTATATTTTGGAGGCATACTTAAACAGTTTTCTGTTTTGTAGCATTAATTTTAATTTTAGGTAATGATATTATATTTGCAAATAGTGCACTCTTCTGAGTTAGTGAGCATTAGATTCTTAGTAGTGAGCATTAATTCAAAATTAGAATTCCAGGGGCTTATTTTATTTCAGATCCAGTTGATATTGTACATATTCTTGATAGACTATTCCTATAATATCCATTAAAATCCAAATATTTGTTGTGCAAAGTACTAAAGTAATTTTTGTGGTTATTTAATACATGTAATAGTTTTAAGTAAAATTTTTACAATTTTGATATTTGACTGTTTAAATATTTTATATTATATAATATACTATATATAATTGAAGTGAAGGTTGACATGTAAAATCAGTTGAATTCAAAAATTAAAATCAATAATGATTAAATTATACACAATAAGAAAAATGTTTTTCTACACATTTTTTACATCTTTACAGAGAAGTAAAGAATTGTCTAGCTTCTGTTATTTGTTTCTGCCGCTTCCTATCTCCATCTTGTGAAAGGATCTTGATAGTTTTCATGAACAGACAACTGAAACTTGAGCAAAACCTCTGTTTTAGGTAGGAATACGTAAAAGCCATGGAAGGCCACACAGCAGGCTCTCTAGAACGTTGTGTCTGGAAAAGAGCAATGGGACTCAAGTCACGGGCTACACTTTAGTCAGAAAAACAATACTATTTAAGTTTCATGCTAAATGTTGTTAGCTGAGCTGAATTCAGAAGATGCAGGGAAAATCACAGCATTTCCTTTTCAATATGATCTTTTTTATCATATTCTTCAGAAAATGGTATTAATGTACGTGTTTTTTTCTTCTCTTCACTTAAGGTTTCAGTGGCTTTAATAAGTCTCTTTGAAACACTATTGCTGAGTTATCTTAGCTACAAGGTAAGTTCTTTCAGTTGCCTGGCTCCTATCTCCACTGTATCCAAAGCTGTAGCATATGCTGCTTTTTTCACTCAGTACAGCATCTCTAACCTGCCTCTTCTGGGATGCAGCTCCTAACAAAACAGATGCTAAAAAAGTGTCAGTTAAATATTTCTTACGATTCCTTGCTATTAGTAGGCATTTTAACAGTGGATTATTTTCATTTTATTATTCCAACAATAAAATTTGGCTTACAGTCTCACAATTTCGGTTCTCTTTACGGGGCTGGTGGTTATCACACAAAATATTACAGATTATTCAAGTATGTTTAACTCCCACCAGTTATGATTACACAGAAAACAAAAATCCCTGCCTGTAGGTACAGTGGCATCCAGATATAAAAGGGAAAAATTAGAAATAGAGAAAGAATGTTATTTACAATATAGATTGGATTTAATTTTCAGTTACTATATCAGATGGTCATCTTAACAGGAAACATTAATTTATCAATGAAACTGAAAATATGATGATTCTGTAGTGGCATATCATTGCAATATTATATAGGCTGCATTGTTATTCCATTACCTATGATGGACTACTGATATACAGTTAGTACACTTGTAAGACACTCAATTTTAATTACCTTCTTTCTTAAATTTATAGTCTTCATCTAAACATCTAATTACTACAGTTACTGCTCAGATGTGGAAAAGAAACAGTATTTTTCCTATTCTATAGCTAGTGGTAAACAGATCAAAAAATCTGCATCACTTCCATTCAATTACGTGGGAAGACCTCTAATTTTTTGTAAGATCAAGAAAAAGCAGGCCCTGAAATGTATTGAATTGTTTGTGGCAAAAATACAGAATTTTGATCTTGTATATTCTGACATGAAATTTTATAAGAAGTCCAAGCAGAGCAGCTCATTATTCATACTAAATGTCAATACGAACCATAGGGCAGTTAGCTGTGCATGAGGATAATCACAACAGTTGATTCAATATAAAATTTTCTGAGTAGGGCGTGTGCTTTGCACATATATCTCTACAATTCTTATACTGCAATGGAATTTTGTCTGTAGTTTTTAAGACAATCTTAAATAATAAGTATTAAAGTGAGAAAAAGTTTAAAACAACCAAAAGCTAAAGTATTATAAATGTAGGATTTTAGAGCTTTAGAGGTGTCTAAGAAAAAAAAACAAATAGCAGAAAGAAAGCAGCTGCAGACAGAACTCTCCAGCAGGTTGTGCAGCGTGATGATTCCATCAAAAACCAGAATTAGTAAAAATAAATTTGTTAGGAAAAGAACCTTATCTCCTTACCTATGTGTAAGGGTGCATGCAAAAATTAAAGTAAACCAATGTTGGAAGAACAAAAAAAAAACCAAACAAATGATCTCTGTGTAGGATTCCAAGGTACCTAAAAATGCAATACGAGGAAACAGAAATGCATTACTCTTCGAAAAAATTAGAAACTTAATTTAATGAAGCTCTTCATTAGCTGACATAATGAGTTGACTAGTTAATGCAATTAGAATTTTTCATTCTTTGCTGTCTTACTAACTAGGCCACAGTATGAAAATATGTGGTCATATGGATGCAGGAATCTGTTGTAGTAAAAATATAGATTTGAACAGTATACGTGTGAGGTAAATTATAGTAAACAGTAAGAAAAAATAGTTAGGCCAGACTATTCTGTATTCTATATTTACATTTTATACGTGTTTAAATCTGTAGGACAAATACTTTTCATTAAATTCAGTTATTTAGAGAAATGTATTTGGCATTTGAGTATCTTATATATTCCTCATCAGATGCGTAGGTTAACTTACTATGATATGCTTTTTATTGTTTTTTCTTTTTCTTTGAAGGGAAATATCTGGGAACAAATTCTGCGAATACCCTTCCTCCTGGAAATAATAAATGCTGTCCCTTTCATCATTACGGTAAACGTATTTGAATTAAGACGTATTACACTTTTATATTTGCACTGATACTCTTCTCTGAGGTGAAAGTGAATTCTGTGTGGATTAAAGAATTGTGCTCGTGGGAACTGAAATTAGCCAAAAACAAGGCAGATTTTTACTTAAATGAAATAGTACATATCATATTTTTTCCCCCAAAAAGGCAAAAAAATTCCCCCCCAAACAACCAAGAGACCCCTAACTCAAATTACAACACAATCAATAAAACAGTCAGACATAAAAATCAAAGAATATCTATTGTGACTGTATTTGTGACTCTATATTGACTCTCTATATTGTATTTTATCATTTTGTTTTATATGCAGTTCATTAAGATAAATTTTTCCTAGTACTTCATTGCTGCTATTTTCTTCAATAGAAGACTTTTAATTAATTTATGTGTTTTTCAATTTTAATTTGTTCAGATTTTCTGGCCAGTCCTAAGAAACCTGTTTATTCCTGTTTTTTTAAACTGTTGGCTAGCAAAGCATGCTTTGGAGAATATGATTGTAAGTATGACAAAGAAAATAACTAATTTGTATTTTCTGTTTTTTAATATATTACTTTAACTGGGATTTTGGCATTGCAGTCCTCTGTCCCACTTTTCTAGCAAGCTAACCAGATAGTACACAAATGGTCAAGCGTTATTAAAGCTACTTTGTCCATCAAAATTAGAAAAAAAATATATAAAGTGAAATCTCAAATTAGTATAAATTGTTGCAGTGCCCATTAGGAGGGAAAGTTACAATGGCTAGTTCTTTAGCTACTTATGCATTCACATACAAGTACAGGGAACTCAACTGCTATGCCTTAATTAGTTTTTGCAGCCTGTAATTTGTAAGCTAGATATGAACAGACAAACTTTAAGGCAGCTTGCAGTAGTATCAGAATTGTGCCAGGATGAACAAAGAACTAGTTAAACAATCACTGAATCACAGCTGGTTCTTTTGCACCCTTCCACATGATCAGCAAATTTTAAGCAGATTTGAATCAGTGGATTTTATTAGGATTCTATGTAACTCTATAGAATCAGCTCATGCTTCATTAATTCAAAGCCAAAAATAACAGCTATTTTCCATTAATGCAGAATGATCTTCACAGAGCCATCCAACGTACACAGTCTGCAATGTTTAACCAAGTCCTCATTTTAATATCCACCTTACTGTGTCTTATCTTCACTTGGTAAGTGACCAAAATCCTTCTCTTTTTATTATATATATTGACTTTTCTCACTTTAGAACATGGTGATAAAATAGGCATTGTGGAAATTACGTGTTGAAATAAAAATAATAACATACTTGCAATGCAAATACCAATCAGCACTGAGTACTACTGGAGCCCTGATACACTGGGTTTGGAAACAGAATGTGCATGCATGGGAGAGGGTCTCATTCTCACAATAAGGAAAGAAACACATATCATGTAAAAACACAGGAGAAATAGATGGGGGAAATTTACATAAATATTAAGATTGAAGTCTCAGTGGAAAAGTCATTCGAATTTGAAGGGAACCAATGAAGGTACCTAGACTAAGGTAATAATCCTCTCACTGGAGGGATAGACAGAAGAATGTAAAAAAATCTCAGCCTTATCACTCAGATTACCCAGTCCAGTTATAAGATATAAAGAGAGAAAATAGTAATAATCTTATTTACAGAACGTAAATATTCTTAATCTGGATTACAGAAAGCTCTGGATGGTAGGTTCAAACAACAACAGTGTAATACTGTGAGGAACTTTTTGTTGCAAGATCTCAAAACCTTTTAAGTTTATAGAGGTTTTGGAAGTATAGAGAAAAGTATTTTGACAGTATTAAATATAAATCTACTAAGTTCCTAAAATGAAAAGAGCTGCAGATTATTGGCAGCTAGAAAAATGTTCATAGGAAATACTACTTTTTTGTCGCAGTTTTATACTATGCTTTATACATCTACAGTTGAACAGAGCTGGAGACAAAAACTACATGACATTACTGAGCACAGACCTAACTATGTTCACACACAAAGGTAGAGGTGGTAACGTAGCTTAGGAGGTTACTTAGCAAACAGAAATTTCTCAGCAGGTATCTGAGATCTGAGTGTCACATATGGAGAAAAATAACAGTAAAAAGAATATGTGTGTTATGAGATGGTACGCAAGAGGGCAGTGAACAGAGATGAATCCTTTTGGAAAGGGTTAACAACCCCTAAATTTTGCCAGACAGGGTACCTTTGGGTTAGTGCACAGATAAAGTTTTGTCTTGACATTTTGGAGAAAGAGATTTGATTTTTACTCATCTTGTTTCTCTAGAATGTTCTTGATGGCCACTGTTAGATTCTACCTTAACCCTTTTGTTAGTAACAGTGTAAAATAAAAATAAAAACCTTTTCAGTCCTGAAAAACACATTCTCAGTTCTCTACCCTTTATTGAAGAACGTGGGTTTGTTCTGGTCAGTGATTAAATGAATGGCCCTTTGTCTTATGGCCACAAAATTCCATGACAAATGCTGCCAGTTCTAGTAAGCTAGTAACAGTAATGTTTCCTAAGAACTCACTGAGATCCTCCCTGCTTGATAGAGAGAAAGCAGCTAAAATGAACATCATGCTCAGTACCAGGCATTTTGATAACTGACAGTAAAACTGCAGAAAATGGCAAGCTCACCTTGGTAATTATGTCTGGTCTCAACAGTCATAGATACCAGCTTATTAGAGATTACTATACGGTGACCTAGTATTGACCCTGCTAGACTTCCAAATAAGCTAAATAAGATGAAAACACCCATTAATGCAATAACTAAGGAGATTAAATACTTTCGGAATTACCAAAAATAGATGTTCAAGTATCTGCAGCTTGCCTAATGCCAGAATCTGTTTAGGTAGATGTTATTGTTACTTATATGAACACACATAATGGTATTTTATACTATTTTTACCCATCTATGACCTTATATTATAAAGTGTATCTTACAAGTATATAAAAAACTCTCTATAAACAGTCAAAGTCAACTTAATGTCTTCTATTATGTTATCCAATGTTATCCATTGTGAATTTGAGGCAGTATCGCACTTTATATCACTTTACAGGATTTGTTTTAGACATTACATGATTTTTTTCATGCTGAAAGAGGAACAAAGCCTGTTTCTGGAATTTGCCCACTTGAGGATAGCTTTTCTCAAGCTGTTCTCTCATACTTTTTACAACAGTAAGTTGTAACTGAGTGACTGTATTCCCCCTCTAACACCTAGGGCTAGAAACAGTCTAATCTATATGTGCAGTAAAAAACAATGCAAAAAGAAAGGATTTGAGTTAGTTGCAGCCTGTCATAAACACATTCTGGTGACATTTAGAGATACTACCTTGGTTCATGAAACAGTAGAGCTACAGAAATGCAAAACTGTTAAAGTTAACAAAAGAATGGCTTCAATGCACTGTATGAATTAAACTGTAACACTACATCCCAAAGGTGCTGGTTGGCAGACTTGCTTTTACAATCTGCTTCAATAGGAACATTGGCTGAAGCCTATGTAATTTTCTGTTCAAAATCATGCTTTTTTAGCAGACACACAGGAAAAGAGCACATTACTTTATACAGGAATTATGCCATTTTATAAGAAGTCCAGGAGGGACTCCCCTTTCTACTTAAATTGTTTTTACCTTCTTGGTTAGAATGGTGCACTGAGGAAGCATAGAAAAAGTGCTCTTTTACTGCTTCTAGAAAGGCTGAAAGCTTTAGCTCTTGGGATGATCTTTTCTACGAGAAGTTTTAAAACAAATGCTGAAACTATTCAGTAATCAGTACTTACAAGATATGTTCCTTAATTTTGTTTTTGAGTGTGTTTTTACTGTACTTAATCTTTTTTTTTTTTTTTTCCTGGGTGCTTGAGATGGAAAAGTAGTTACTTTCTTTACATTTTTTGTGTAACAACAGAACTCTGTAGTTTTGCAAGAGGTACAAAATAACTGGATGTGATTTAGAAATGTCTCAGCACACTCAGAACCCTGGTGAAGAAGCTGGCTGGACCTCCTGACCTTGCAGTGCTTTACAATGGAGGGAGAGGATTAGATGTGTCTACTAACTGTTCTAGTAACATTTTCACTTGTTCTTCTAGTGTATAGACAATAGCATTTCATTTGATTGATCATTTTCCTCCACAGAAATTTACCTTATAGAGTAGTTTAAGGGTTCTGCATTACTTACACTGAAGCAGAAATACTTATAGAAAGCATCTTTCTCATCAGCTTTGCTACTACGTGCACATATGTTTCAAAATAACCGAACTTCTACAAAAGCAGAAATCTCACAGAAAAGTCAGCTCCATGCAATGTCAGCAAAAACATCAGTTGCATCTCCTCAGCAGTTTTCTGAGTGATAGTAACACAGGCAGACATATTCCAACCTGTCTTATAACTCAAGTATAAGCTTCAGATTAAAACATAAAACATGAATACGTTTACAGTCAATTGTCTAATCGTACAGTTTTTAGAAAATCATTATATAAATTATCCTTCTAACTTAGAATTTAGCAGGAGGTTTTATATATTTTTGAATACAGTTGACAATTTACAGAACAAAGAATAATCACATAAAATTTATGATATATTGTATTTTTTTTTTAATGGCAATTGTTTATGGATCCAAGGGTAGAAATTATCTGCAGATCAGTCACTTCATAAGCATAACACCATGTATCTGCAGTTTACAGGTTACTACATGGATTTTTTTTCTCTCTTCTAGTTCCAAAGATAAGTTAGGCTATCAATAATTTATTTCCTTAAATACCTCAGTGTTCTCCCACCCAATTATGAGTATACCAAAAGAAGTGTCCTCCTTTATGAAGCTGTTCAGCAATTACTGTTGATAGAGTTTCAGTGAAAGTGACAAAGATAGTCAAAGTATATATTTTGTCATTTAGCTAATGGATGTTTGCATTTGCTTGCCAAATGGAATACTAATTACTTTTGTAAACTCTACAGTAAGACAAATAACAATGAATGACTATTTCAGGCATCTATGACACAGTGAATCATCTTTTAAGACTTTGTTTTTTAAATCAATGCTAGTCATGTATCACTAGTGTGGAATGCTTAGCTTGTAAAAAAGTTGGCTACAAATGCGATTAAGAATGTAAGAAGCCTGCATGAACTTTGTTCATGCCTTCTTTGAAAGCTCACTGAGCCTCAGCATTGCTTATCCTTCAGTGCTTTCAATATCAGAAAATTAGGATGTTTTCACAAATTGACTTACAGAATACCTGTATTATACCAATTCTCTAGCCTCAGTGCCAATTAAAAATTTCATCTGGAGGAAACAGTAGAAATAATTTGCTTGTAGGAATGACAACAAACTCAGACAACAAGCTAGTCCAAACAAGACAAAATTCCAGAGTTGGAACACTGTGTTACAGAAGGGGAAAAAAAAAAAAAAAAAAGGAGATAAAGGAAATAATTTCATGTAATATTACAGAAATTAAGACCTCTCAATTCAATGCTTCAGTTCCTTTTATTATCAATAAGAGAGACAGTCGCCTCCAAGTGCAGTACAGATCTGAATTTAACTAAATCACTCTGCTTCTCTGTCCTTCTGTATTGATTACAGCAGGAGCCAACAATGGCACTCTTCCAAGGATGCCTAACATTAAGTACGTTGAACTCAGAGAGCGTTAGTGGATTATATAATGTAGAATAAGATATGTCTATAATATCTACAAGTCTTTTGATGCTGTTTGGTTTTGTTGTACAGCACATCCAGTGCTCAGATTCAATATGCTTATGATTTAGAGAGATGTTTTGCATTCAAAAATAGCACGAAGTTAAACTGCAATTCTGTCATTTAGTTTAATCAAATCCAGTGATTCTTGATTAATAAAGAATATTAATTGTCATGATCATAAAGATTAAACAGTGGTTGCAGTATTTAAGGCTCAGAGTATTCTAGTATATTAATTAGAAGTCCTAAGTAACTGTAAAGAATACAAAATAACTTATTCAACTACTACAATACTTTTCATCCACTTTGGTAGGAGAGTAATTTATTTACAAGTACAATATTAATTATACTTTATCGGAAGTTCCTGGAGGAATTCAGAGATGGCCCCAGCTTCTGGCATGAGAATAGTAATTGAAGTCTCATTCATTTTACTGTGGCTGTGTCACATTTCTATGTGTTTGCAGTGACCAAGTGTTTCCAAAACTATACCGATAT